GATATTAAAAGTTTGAAATTACATAGAACTAATGCCGTATGACCCATGTGGTTACACCACAGTCCACTGAAAGGAAACCTTATCTACTCGATTCCTGAAAATACGAGTCTGAAAGAGATGTATTTTTAAATGAGAAGGGGCAATATCAGTAGAAAACAAAACAAAAACTCCAAGAAACCAAGCAAGACAACAGAAAATCCTGCTCATTAGGAATTCTTGTGCCTAAAGGGTGGAAATCACCACATCATGTGCCCGTTCTTTACACAGTTCACAAGTTTCTCAATGGTACAGATAACTGCTGGTGGAAGGTTGAGGAAAACACACAAGGTAAATGTCAACCTGAACAGCATGACTTTGTAGTGAAGAGAGGGGGAACTTGACAAGCCAACACCAATGGAAGCCCAAATAAATTTCACTTTCAAACCCACTGAGAAAGAGAACCTCCTGAGGGCAGAACTGCTTTTGCTGCTGCTATTGCTGCCTGTGTCTCCAAGAGCTGCTCAAAGAGAAATAGAAAAAAACCCTAGACCTTAAAACACAAACAGTGAAGAAACAGTAAGAATACTTCTGGACATAACGCTGATTAGACAGGAATATAAACTTATTTCCTACTTTTAATCATATAAAACAGCTCTTGTGGCAAGATAAGCTTGCAGCAGATTAAGAATACCAGAAACAAACTAGAGTCCTAAGTTTATATATTGACTTAGTGCCTGGTTAGCAGAAGTCAGAATATTTACTAAGAAGAAACCAAATCCTCCTCCCTCTAAAACACACACACCCACACCCCTCCACATCCCAAACCAGGCTTGATGGGAAATGTCTTAAGAAAAAATGTAACAGAAATTCCAACCATTCTGTTTCAAGCCATTGAGAGGTTTTGTTTCAATAAGAATGTTAAAAAGCAGTAAAAACATCTTCCTTTAAATTAATACAGAAAATTGGTAGGAAGGCTGTAGAGAACAGAATCCAAATCATTACACTATATAAGTTGAATCAAAAGCTGATTGCTTATCCTTTGGGAAAGACAAGTTTGACAACAGTAGCCTTTTTCCCTTTGGCTGACTGCCACAGCAGGAAGTGGAGGTTGGGGACAGAAAACTCTGTGATGTCTGTAGTAAAACGAGAGCAGCAGCTCCCAGGAACTTTCAGACTACTGAAGGGACACGGATTAGGGGTCAGGGCAGCTGACAACTGCTCATGTAATATTTATTTGTTAACCAGTCCCACCTTTTAATGCACCAATTCAAACAAAAGAACTTGGTATTAAATATGTATTTCATTAATTCAGGTCCAATTATCAAACAAGTTTGTAACTACGGACATTTTTATTCACATATATTACCCACTACCAGAGTCTGAGGCTTATCTATAGGTAAGCAGTGAAACTTACTTGGAACATAAACATGCATATCCATGGGTAATCTGAACAGTTTAAATTCAAGAACGCAGCAGAGATTTACTACCTACTGAAGGTTAGTGTGTGTACTATAGAAAGCTTAGTTTAAAAACAGAACTTTTACTTTTCAGAAATAGATATACTGTTACAAAGTGGAGATTTCAGAAGCCCAGCAGCAAATTTACACCAGGTTAGTGCTTCAGCAAAAGAAGTTCCTTGCAAAGGCAAAGTTAACTGTATTAAACGTTAAACAAATCCAAGAATGTGCTTGTAATTTATCTATAAAAAGTGACGCAAGATCTCATTTTCAGTGATCTTAATACATTTTTGAAGTCCACAGCTGAATCCATATATTCCTCCCTTAAGCTATTATTTGAACTGATACATGCTTATGCTGTGAAGATTTGCATCGCATCATTCACGAGCCTACCACTGCTGCCTGTTTGGAAAGCTCTACGCTGGTATGCGGGTTGCAGCTTCCTCTTCCGCGTCAGCTCTGTTCGCGTTTATTTCTGCCAGCGTTCGACCAAACCGAGTCCACTCATCGCTGCGAGGAACGGCAATTTGCTGTTGGCAAAGAGAACGTTACTGAAACCTACGGATAAATAAAAACTGAGCTCGTTTTGAACAGCAGAGTGCTTACGTAATGTTCAGAGGAGGTTCTGATAGAAAAGCTTACCTTAATTTAGTGTAACTCATTTCAAAGAGCCCGAACATTAAAAGCTCTCATTAATAAAAGCAGCAGAATTTGGGAACCCTGTATTTAAGTATGTAATGATACTATTTCAAGCTTGCATGATGCATCTGCAAAAGGGAACACTAATGCCATGTCCTCATGCAGCCAATCAGTTACGTACCACTGCAGTATGTGTACCTGCAACAGCAACAGCTTCCCCATAGGAACAAAGTCAAGGCTGCTTCACTGCAAAAGTTTTTGGTTGGTGCTTCTCAAGCTATGGTCAGAATTCACGCGTGGCACAATTGCAAAGATGATAAAACCTCTACAAACAAACCCACTGATTCTTTCACCTTATTTCACCTGCCCTATAATAATGTTTTCACTTTTTGATTGGCTGCCAGATGACACGCTAAAAAGTTATGCTGCAATATCTGAAATAGACACAAAATGGAGACATTCATTTGAAAATAAAAATTAACCTTGTTCTTCTAATCACAGGGGAGAAAAGTTAAAAGTAAGTCGCTAAATAAAAGCCAAAGAAACTTGGGTGTTTTGTAATGTACTTTGCACAGTATGTGGCATACGTACCTCTCCCACGTCATAGATAACGATTTGTCCCTCTGAATCACCCACAGCAATCTCTCTCCCAGAGTGAGTCCATCTCACACGGTTCAGAGCAGGATTGCCCTCCACAGTAATGCTTGCAGTTGGCACCTGCATACATTTTAAACACAGTGCTAAAAACACATGAGGATTCTGTAAGCTGTAGGTCACATTTACTCCCTCAGTGCTGTATCAGAAGAAGTGCCCGACATTTCAACCGGGGCAAAGCACGCAGATCTCAAAGACTCTCAGTGGCCTTAAGCTATCACTAGTGATATGAGCAAAACAACACATCTGCTGTCCCTTGGCCAAAGCACAAACATCCTCTGTCAAAAGCACATCTGCACTCTTGTCATGAGACAGGAGGCACAGACACGCGTTCGGTCAGACAGCAAGGAGGAGCCTGGGGATCTCAAGGAAGATTACGACAGAGGGCAGAGACAAAGTCAGCTGCTTTGGAGGGTCAAATCCTCTCCAAAGGCTAGAACTGGGTAATTCCAATTTGGAGCCACAGGCTGCCATATGCTCCTACAGAACTGCTCTTTCTTCTATACGCAGTTTTAAGAAGGTAAAACTTAAAGCATTGAATATCTGTCAGGTTTTTCCTCTCACCCATCTCCAAAAGGTTTACATCTTGGAAAAGGTTTATACTATAATTAAGTCTGTAACTCACACCAGAAAACCCAAACACTCAATTCTCTAAGCTTAGAAACAAATTAC